ATACCATAACACTAATTTCTTCTTTGCTTTAATTCAGATAGTTCTTCTAATCTAAATTTATTAGACAAAGAGTTTTTCTCATGAAAAGTGATATTTACTGAGTTTAATTAAAATGAGGTTATTATAGTTGACTAATAAATGTATAAATGGTATTTTTTAATGGTCTATCAAAAAACTAGATATTTCATTGATTTATACATTAAAAAATATATAAAAGAATAGACAAAAATACACTTAGTCAGTGATTATGTTATAGAGAATTTGATTAATTTAAAAAAAAACTAAATTAAGGTTGAGATTTATTAATAAATATACTAAAAAATGTTAAATACTTTGATTATCATAATCAATGCTTTTATTTTAACTATTCTATTTTGTCCAGTATGGATTAAGTGGTTAGCACGGTTGCATAAGAAAGTTGTTGCTCTAAACTACTCCTATATACCATTTACACTTTACAATATGGAATTAAGATATTAATACAAAAAACATATAATAGTTGTTGTAAACATAGCACGTATACAAATTTAAAAAATTCCAAATTCATGGAGATTTAATGTAAACATCATTGATCTGAGTTTACAATTCATCCCTAATCAACCTATAAAAATTGGCTTTTAATTCGAAGAGTAATTGTATATAGAAAGACTCAAATCCAAATTCTTACCTTATACTCATTAAAAAATATTACACCGCAAAAGTAAATAAATTCCATTTCTATCGCTATTATTGGAATCTTCAGCAATTAATTGTCTTTTTTTAACCCTCTCTCGCTTAAATATTCATTTTAATTAAATTAATGTCACATTACCAAAACTCAATTCTAAAGAGAAGGATTTACCAGAAATGATTATAAATGTAGAATAAACATCAATATTTTTACATCTTAATTAAAATGGTCATTTATAATGGAAACTCAACAGTGAAGGTGCTAATATGTAATAATGTTTAACTATTACTAAAATTAATTTAGATGCTATCACTAAACCTGGATTATTAATTGATCTATTAGAAGAACACAGTTATATTGATGTAAACATTTAAGAAGTACGATGGTTTTGTAAAAGTTAATATTTTTATACAATGGATGTCTTAGCTAATGAATTTTGGACTAGACCAGATATTAATAAAATTCTTAAAAAATAATTTAATGAAAAAGGGTTTATGTTTTTAGGTAAACCAAGAAAAACGAATCTTTACTTTGGATCCTTTAAAATTGAATTCAGCATTTTCAATGATTCTGAAAATTAAAAAAACAATTCTTTTCATATTTTAACTCAAAAGTTTTATAAATATACCTAAAATAAACTTGTATTTGAATGGCAACAATTAAAATATTATGGATAATATAATATTGTTGACACAGATTAAATTAAAAAAGCAATTATAAAATGTAAACAGTTCACAGTGAATACATTATAAGAAGATATTAGATTTTAAGATATTTCTTGGAATATTGATTCTACATCCAGCAATACTGTTCACTCTAATGATAATACAAAACATTTTATCAGATATGCTGATCTTATTATTAATTTATCTCCATAACTGATTAAATTTTTTACTCTTATTTAAACTGAATTAGCATCTGAATTCAGAGTTGCATTTATTGAAAATTATGAATAAAGCAAATATTTTAAAAAATATAATCGCATTGCTAAAGAAATGTGTTGTTAATTTTTAAATATTGATTTAAATAGTGCTTTAAGAACATCATATGATTTTTTTATTACTAATAAATTTTAAATTAATTTAATCTATGATGGAACAATCATTAACTCAATCACGATTAATTAATTTCATTATATTTCAAGCGAAGGAGATGTTAACGAATCTTCAATTACATTTAAAAATTGCTAGATGACTAGTAATATTAGTTAAACTGATGGCTTTATCCAAGATTTTAAAATGCAAACAAACCCTCAAAATATTAATTACAATTTTAATACCTTTTAATTATTGGTTGAACAATAAAACATAGAAAAGATTTTAAGAATTTATTAACTTTAGAAAATTTTTAGATCATAGTTATCCAAATTTACATCTTTCAAATTAACACCTTTAGAAAAAAAAAAATCCAAAGCCAATAAACCAATAATTAAAGATAAAATTATTAATTGTCAAAAGGTAAAACTAAAATATTTGTCTGAACCTTTTTTGGCTGAAATAAATTTAAAAGAAATCAAAACATAGGATCCTAATAACATTGATTTAAATTAATTCTCAATTAAATTTTAAAATTCTTCTTTATTTGTAATAGATTAAATTTAAACTAAAAATAGTGCTTAATTAATGTAAATTAATATTAAGTTTGCAAAACTCAATTTTGAAGAAGAAGTTAGAGATATTAATGTATTTCTAGCTGGTATAAAATAAATGAATACAATTGTGTCTAGAAAATAGATTTTCGATATTAATTAAGAAGAAATAGATACTTCATAACTTAGAAAAAGAAGATCTTCTCATGATGGTGTTCTAAAGTAAATTACAAGTAATTAAGATTAAACTACAAAATTAAGATCAATTTTTGGAAAAAATACAAATCTAAATATTTAAAGTTTTGAAATTCAGGTTTAAGACACAAAATTAAATGATGCATTATGTAAATATAGAAGATTTTAAGAAAAATTTGAAACAATAAAAAGTAGATAAAATGAAAGCAGGGTATTAGAAGGTTTAAAAACCTAATAATCATATCCTTTATTTCATTTAAAATTCTAGAATCTGAATTTTAAATTTAAAAAATAGAATTTATCTATGAATTAAGTACTTGATAAAATTACCAAATTAGATTCTCATCCAACTTAATTAGATGAATCTTTCTTTGAATATTTTGAATTAGCGAATTGCGAAATTTTATTGGAATAAATAAAAATATCAATAAGAGATTATAAGCTTAATTTACTTGATTTAAGGGGCATAAAATTAAACACTTTTTTATGTATTTCTAAATTAAATACATAAAATATATAGATAGGATTGAGAGTATTTTATGATTTAAGTTTAGAAATTAAATAATTACAAATAGCAGCAGGATTAAATTTAGTATTTGCTTTTAGAGAAATCTCAAATAGAATTAATTAAATAATGGGCTAGAGTGTAAATTAAATATAAGATAAAATTATAATAAAAGAATAATTAGCATTTTGGGATAGATTTAGATTAAAATTTCATGGTAAATTGCATTTTTAACTTGATCACTTAATTTTATAAATTACAACTGATATTTTACCATATTCAATTGATTGTATAAAATTATCATCTAAGTAAATAAATATAGAATTTTTAAATTGGACATTAAAAGGATAAGCTGATAAGTTAAAATTAGGTAGAATACCAAAAATCTAGAAAGTTCTCTATATTCCAAGAATTCAAATGGTAACTGAATTCTATTGGTTTGCTTAAAAGGATCAATATGATCATTATTTTTACATGAGAAAACCATATTTTAATTAAATAAATGATGGTTTAAATGATTTTATAAGTCAATAATTATAGATTGAAATAAAAGTAGATTGTATTCAATATGAACATTATTAAGAATCTAATTTTAGAGATTAACAAAAGCATAGTTTTTTTATTCATTACTAAAATTAATTTATGAGATGGTTAAAGAACAGACCTATATTGAGACATGATGTATTAAAAATGTTTTCTGTTAAAATAAATAAATTACCATAAGTAATGGATAATGAAATATCTGAAATAGAATGGAATATGTATGCAGACTATAAAACATTAGTTAATTATACATATATAAAATTAATGGAATCATTAATAATTAAGTAATCATTATTTTAGCATACAAAAAAGATAAATATAAGAGTATATTCAAATAAATTTAGAATGTTTTTTACAAATTCTGAAAAACCAGTATCACACAATGAAACTTTTTTAAAACATAAAGATATTCCATTTATTGGATTTTAAACATTATTATAATCCTTAAAATTTAATCTATAATTAGAACCAAATCGAATAGATAAAGAATGGAGATTTGAAGTTTAATCAATAGCAGCTAAATGTGATTAATTAGTATCTTCAATGTTTGATGGAAAATAGATGTTAGAAATGGAATAACCAGAACCTTTGAGTTAATAAGAATAATTTGTTAATTTTTTTGATATTCAGCCAGTGGATTATTATTAGAGTGAATTAAATTAATCATAAAATTTGTAAAATATGACTTTTCATGAATTAAAAAAATTAAAGAAATTTCTTAAACAACCTTTTATTATCAACACTACTTTGACTCCATAATATCATTTATTTAATTTATAAACAGATGAATCATATTTATAAGATTCATTGGAAGATGTTAAACTAAGAGGGAGAGCATCAGGTATTCAAATTAAACCATAAGCTAAAAATGAATTTAGTGCTTTTGACATTTTTTTAATAGCTAAATCATTAGAGTATAAATAGAATTAAAAAATATAATTATAGGATGAAGACGATGATAGTAAAGCTGTAATGACTTAAAAAATAATTAAGAATTTCATTTCTGCTTTAAATAGTTAATTCCTATTTACATTTTACCTTTAAGAAATTTGGGGTAATGTTTTTGAAAGCCTTGAAATTCCATAGAATAATGAGACTAAATAAAAATTTGATCAGTAAATAAATTAAACAAAACCTAAATCATTTAGCAGAGAAGAATTAATATTGATGGTTTCATTAGTTAATCCTTAATTTAATTTTTAATATCATAATGCTAATTGTTAAATGATTTTAACATCTCCAAAAGATTGTTAAATTATAATGTCAGAATACATTCTTCCATTTGATAGTTTAGAAATTGATAAAAAAATAGTTACTAAATTAATATTTAATGGATTAGATTGTTAAGTATTATAAAAACATTTAGATGCTAAATAAACTGTAAGATTTCTAAATCAAGATTATGAAAAAATTGTTAAATGTGATTATGCTCTTTTTTAGATTTAAAATTATTAATTAAGAGAAAATGCAAGAGATTTTACAGAAATATCTTCATTAAATAAAAAAAATAATCCTAATTATTGGAATTAAGAATTAAGAAGACCAATAGTATAAGTAAAAGTTGGTTAATTAAATGCAACAATGAAAAAATACTAATTAGATCAATTTTTAGATATGTTAACATTTATGGAAATGGCAGTAACAACAAAAAATGAATTCGAAAATAAGGAAAGATTTTATAGAAATAAATTAAAAGAATTAAATTAATATGGTAGTAAATAGATTGATCAATTAATTAAAAAGAAAATATCAGAAAATCTTGAACATTATGGAGCTGAAAAATCAAAATTAGATTATGCTATTAAAGAAACTAGTCTATCTTTATTAGATGAATAAGAAGTTAGCTTTATTTTATTCAATATTAGATAAATTAGAATTATAGAGACAGTTTTTGAAAATGATAGCCATAAAATTGATATTTTACTTTAAGATATGGATGCAATTAACAAAATAGAATAAGATCCAGACTATAAGATGGTTTTAAGTTAGGAACTAAAAGAAAATAGATCATAACCTTTTTTTAGAATGATTAAAAAGTTCTACCCTCTTTAAATTTATTAATAAAAATGGTTTGTTATTGATTAAAATGATATCAAAATGAATCCTCTTACAATTATACTGACAGATGAATTATATGATCAATTTTATACTTATTTTTTTGGTGATGAATAAACACAAAGGAATAATAGATTAAGTATAGAAAAAAAAGAATAAATGAAATGTATTTTTATATTTATAAATATCTTAGCTGCTATGGAGAATATATCTAAGTAAATACCAGATTATTTTCATTCCTTATAAGTTAGTGAACTTAAATTAATTGCCACATTCAAACATCCATCCAAAATTAAGAGATTTAAAGATGTAACTATCTAATTAGAACCATATAAATCTCCTAAATAATTCACTACCACTAAAGAAGTATAAAAATTTATCTTATTATTGTTAGCAATTTGATGAATTCGCAGCTTTTGTTCTAAAACAAATTTCTACATAGATATTCTCTATCATTGGATAAAAGCTCTTTGGATGAAAAATATTATTAAATTATGTTAAAATATAATAATTATTTATTATTTCCATTAGATCATAACAATTTTTAATACTAAAAAATTTATAATACAATAAGTTGTTTTAAGTCTTTATCAAAAAGGTGCTAAATCTAAAGGATGAATATTTTCAATGGTTTTCTAAGATTAATTACTGAAATATTATAAAATAAAAAATCTAGGTTGTAAAAAGAAAGATTAAAATCCTGGATATATAGAATTTTTACAAAAGGATCAAGCACAATATTTAAATTATTAAACAAAATATATGTGAAAATTTAAAATAAATTGATTGTTTTTGAACCACTATTGTCAAATATATAACAATAAATTTATTAATAATTTAAAATTGTTTGTTATTATTGAATAAAATGAATATTTATTTATAAAATAATAAAATTTTTTGAAAAGATAATTAATGAATTTTTATATAAAAATTGTATTAATATAAAAAAAAAGTTTAAAATAAATTTATTAAATTTAGTTGATTAATTTAAATTTCTACAAATAAACATTTTAAACAATCCATTCAACATGTATCAAGTAAATTTTTAGCTTTATGTTTCTAAAGATTCTTTTTTATAAAAAAATTAATCATTATAATCAAATAATGAGTGTATTGTATGGCTTTAATACTTTTAAATAGTAAAGATTGTTCAGTGGTTTTATTTTAATTCCATATTTTTATAGCACTACTAGGCCAATTTCTTTTAAAAAACTGAAAAACAAAAGTTAATTCAATTTAATTAGATTGGAAATATAAATTAACGTTAATAAAATGATAGAGTCATATCAACTGAATATCTAATTTATTAGAAATAATAATTATAAATAAAATTTAATTTCAATAAACAAAACAATCACCATTCAGTAAAATTGTGAGGGAAACAGACCAAGTAGCTGTGAATTTCAAATTACGTGATAATTAAATGTGTATTTTGAATGAAGGTGAATATGAGAATGTTCTAGAGTAAAGATTCCAAGGAATAATACGAGAAACTGGGGATTTGAATTGAACTTTTCCAAACAAACATCAGAAAGAAATGCAAACCTCTTAGACAAAAAACATGAGAGAAGAATCAGGAGATACCCTAACCATATGAGATCCTTTTAAGGTTACTAATTAAAGAAAGTGCTAATGGTATTTGGAATTATAAGACTTAAGTAAGAGAAAACTAGTATTAAATTTATTGTAAGCATTCCAATTATAGAAATTTATATTTATTTAGGGATTGCAATTAGTAGAAAAAGGACCTT